GTTATTCATAGTGATAGCTGATAGCTGGTAAATGATAGTTGTAATTAGTGACAACTGATAGAATACAACTGCAACAGGCTAATCATTTCATTGGCAGAAAACATTTACATTTTGTGGAGGCCGTCGTCACTTGTGGTGTGTGGTCTGCACCTCGACGCGCTTCTGGTTTTTGAAAAGAGGGTATAATGGGTGGCAAATGGATGGTTAACTCTGGTTCAGATCTCATAGTGTGGCCGAGCGCTTCTTGGCCGTTAGGCTATCTTCGCCCTTAGCAACCACCAAGGACATAAAATCAATAGAAAATTATTGTTATTTATTCGAAAATGAATGCACAACATGGAAATCAATCGGATAAAATAACATCTATTGTCAGCAGTGTCATAATTTATTTCAGATGTAAATACATACATATTACAAGTGTGAGCAATGAGTGGTCGATAAAGACGTCTTGGAAGGAGGGCATGGCACATCCTCCTCTTCGACGAGCATATCGTAAGGCAGCACAGTAATGGGAGGGGATTCGTAATCACCTAACAGGGGAACGGAGAGAGAGCGAGTAAGTGAATGATGTGAGAAAGAGGGGATAAAGAGGGAGAATAGGGCAGTGATGAAGAGCAAATGCAGCAACACGAAGTGAATATGGCGCTCCCTGACTCGAGCAAGAACAATTTATGTACGGAAGTACTACGGTAAGTACGGTAGACGTGGTAGGACTCTACAGTTTACGGTTAACACCCGGAATACAGTTCGCTTTTCCGAGCCCACTGGAAACTATACTCGAGGTAAACACAACGAGATAGTTGGCTAAGATCTCTAGCAGGGTACAGACAGAGTTATTAGGGGATTGTCGTGGGCAGCGGTGTCGGCGTCGGTGGCGCTGGTCAACCACTTACTCAGCATTGACTGGGTTCGATACCGAGTAATGAGGGTGAGATGGTCAGATCGGTGGCGATGTATATACCGTGTTCGATGATTCGCACTGATGGATTGATGACGTTGATAGGCAAACCACCCAAACCATTCAGTGGAAGGTTGATCACAATGCCCTTCTGTAGTGTGTCGTTGAGTAACTGAAAAAATCATTGATTCGGTCCAAGCACTGGAAAACTTCTAGGGTCGGAAGAACTCCGTCCCTGTCTAGAAGAAAAACATCTTTTCCTGCACAAAACGCTTCTGTGTGGGTATTTTTATGCCAAATGCGCCTAAGCAAACGAGTTTTTGGTCCCAACTAAGCCGCTTTTGTGGGTTGGGCACTCGGCCTGTTAGTATGGCGACAGAACTTTGATGGCTAGCTCTAGTTAACACTAGAAAGGATGTGGTCATCTTGAGATCGGACCAAAGGACCAAAGGTAAACTGGAGAAGTAAACTCATTATGCCATTAAGCAATTTGGGTTAAAAAACAGCGCGACTAAGTTAAAGCCGCATATTTTAGCTAGGCCACCTAGCGCGTGTTATGATGGGCCAGTCCCTCTGGGATAGACCATTGAAGTTTGAGTCTTCCCTAAGAATTGATCATGCCCCGCTTTCCAAAACGGCTTTTTGCACTTACGCGACACCAGTACGGAAACCGGAACTTTCATTTTTCTTCTGAGCGCCTTCTGAACGCCAAAAGGGTTGGTTTATGGTCGAAAGGAAGGGCAGTGTCTGGCCCTGATGCTGTCGTCGGAATGCACGAATAGATACCTTATTACCATGAAGATCATCACTAACCCACTCGAGGGTGTATACACCAAAAATCGTGTCATTAGGTGTAGCGATTTAGTTTTTAAACCATTTCCAGCATTCAGAGTGCCGTCAGCGAAGACCCATAAGTTTCGGTCCATCCATGTCCCTATTCATGAAAAAGACCATTTAGAGCACCTGGAAGACCCTGTGGAGGACAATGATCAAACGTGGGTAAAACAGACCAAGAACCTTTTGAGTCGATCTACTCAAACTGGCGGAGCTGCACTCGAAAATCCCGGGGGGTTGGGGTGACTTTGCTAAGCTGGCTGGAGGGAACCAATTCTGACATTTTAAATGTGTGGCGGGAACCTGGATTCGGAGATTTGAGCATACCCTTTTGGAACAGTTATAACCTGGTGGCTTCGGTTACTTTGGTGTACAGAGTAGCACTTCTGCACAGGCCGGCTGTGAAAAGATGAGACCTGAGGGGGCATCAAAAACCAAAGAAATGATCAAAGCAAACAGCAGGTTCACAGCTGTTTCCATATGCCGCCATCAATCCCATAAAACTTGACAAACCTTCTGTATGAGTTCCTTGCCAAGATTTCCGAGGTTGTCGAGTGCATCTTGCGGCAGACCAAGCGTTCCTGCTCTGTCAGTCAGCTTGAGGCTCGAAATTTCTGCTGTACCCGTCAGGCGATTTCCTTGTATTTGGGCCACTATTACTATCGTGGCTGCTATGGTGATCGTTCCGACCTGGAAATGGCTAAATTCAGTTTCCACTATGCTCTTGGAGCACTTCGAACTTTAAGGCACATTTAGCGGTAAGGTTTTTGAAAGTGTTCCAGCCACGTACAGAAATGCACGTGGGATGCTTTTCGATCACATGTTGGTGTAGGAATTGTGAATGAGTGGAATGCTGCAAGAAACCCGGAAATGTGCCTGCCCTGCTTACATTTGGACAGATTTCGTGTTGGGTACGCCCATACGCAATTCGTTCAAATACAAGCAGAGCAAGCTCATTTCCAGTGAAGTGTCGGAACATATATGTGGTCAGGTCGCTGCAAAATGAGCACTTAAATGATTATTATGAACATTACTGCAAAAATATGAGCAGAGCGGTGTAGTGGCAAGTGGCGTCGATCTTGTGATTAAATCTGACTGTTACGCCGTCTAGGAAAACTTGTTTTTGTAGATACGTAGCATCTTCACTTTAATTTATGTAAGCATTAAGCGCGTAGGCTAAACTGTGCCCTTGACACTACGCAATATTTGGTCCTCATTTAGAAAAATACTGACCTCTGTTATTGGTTCCATCGATGTAGATATCGGCATCGGCTACCAAATCCAGTGTCACCATACCTTAAAAGAAGCATATTTTATAACGAAGGTAAAACGCTCATCATAACCCAAGTAAGCTGCGTGTCAGG